TTAATTAACGAATATTCATTCTGGCCTACAAACTCATTGAATTTGCAGGTGCTTACATTCTCTGGAATTATTTGTCATAGAAATTAACGGGAGGACAAGGCAAATAAATATTGAACACATTTAGGGTTGTAAGAAAAAAAACAATACTATGAGGCTGGAAATGCCCATTATCTGTTAGTTTCACAAAACTCTGGAGAACTCACTTCCATTTCTGTAGCTGACCAAGCCTTTTTACTGTTTAGGATTAAAAACTGGAGTCCTATTCAGAAATCTGGATTGCATACACTGGCTCTTACATTTTTATTTATTTTTTGCTATTGCAGAATACTGGCAAATATGACAATCTTAAAAGGGGCCCTCTTTTTCTTTTCACACATAAAACAGTTTTAAGCAGAGTTTCTATCATGGTATCTTACCACCCTTACTATTCCACTTTAAGGGGACAAAGACTTACTTCCAGATGGAATCCCTGTCTGTAGGATACTTGGAAAGATTTTTTAGCAGCTCCGCCAAAGCAAGATGGATGCCTTCTTTGGTCGAGACGTTGGTGCAACACAACAGCTCGTGGAGAGCTTCCCGGATATCTCGGGAGGAGTCCTAAAGCAACACACAGAAAGCCTTGAATATCAAAGTGGTGGAGAGCCTTTTAGGATCAACTATCAATGGTAAGGGAACAAGAAGTCAAGAAATAAGCTGCAGACTAGCACTTGGTAGAGCAGCCATGAAGGCCTTGGAAAAGATATTCAGATGCAGTGATGCATCTATCCCTACAAAGATCATAATAGCGCAAGCAGTGTTTTGTCCTGTGACACTCCATGAAAGCAAAAGTTGGACTTCGAAGAAACAGGATAGGAAGAGTGTTGGCACTTTTGAACTCTGGTGTTGGAGAAGACTCCTGAGAATATGGAGGACAGCCAAGAAAACAAACAAATGGATCATCAAACAAATAAACCCAAAGGCCTCACTTGGGGTACAAATGACCAGACTCAAATTATCCTACTTTAGATACATTATACAAAGACCTAGGTCTCCGGAGAAGGCTAAAATGCTGGGAAAGGTAGAAGGAAAGAGAAGAGAACAACCAGCAGCAAGATGGATGGACTCAGTTACAGTGGCGATGGGTGCACAATTGAAAGACCTGAAACACCAGGCTAGGGATGGATCATCATGGAGAAAATCTCTGTGGTTGCTAAGAGTTGATGACTTGATGGCACATAATCAATCAATCAATCAAAGATAATCAGTTTATACTGTCAAGCTCCTACTGGCCATCCTGGATGGGGCGGAAGGGAGCAATAGTCCCAACGACATCTAGGGAACCTCAGTTTCTCTACCTCTGACCTCAAAAATAACATGCTCTTGGATAGGTACAGATCCAGTGGAGTGGTGTAGCAGTCAGAATGTTGGGCCAGAACTCCATGAAGCGGAATTCAAACCTGCAGTTGATACTGGGTGACAGGGAGCTATCCCAACCAAATGAAAATGATGATGAAATTATCATTTCATGATCATGACAATGATCCCACTGAAATCAAATGATGGCGAGCCCATCCCAAAGGAAGTCCAGACTAAAGAAGGATGGGAAAAACCCTTGCCTCCAAGACACCCAGCACTGTGTCTAGTTGATCCTCTCGGAGAGTGATGTTGTTGGAAATCTTCCTCATGGTGTGAATTGACCGCAGCCTCACTTCCTCAATTTCGTCGTTAAACATGTCAACCAGAAAATCAAGGCACTTCTCTGCAAAAGAGGGTGAAGACTGTGCCAGCATGCAGAGGGCTTCAACAGCAGCAATCCGGACCTCTGAAAAACAGATCAAGAGGGTGAGAGATGGAAAAAGGAATGCCAGAATCCTATCTCAAGGATAACCAGGTTCCCACAACACAATAAGCCAAACCCAAATAAACAATAAAATCAGGTCTCTGTGAAATGTATGAATCCAGTCGCTGTGTTTTTCCACAATTTTTTTTTTGAGGCAATGCCCCTGTTGGACTGGTGTTTCAGGTCTTTCAATTGTGCACCCATCGCCACTGTAACTGAGTCCATCCATCTTGCTGCTGGTTGTTCTCTTCTCTTTCCTTCTACCTTTCCCAGCATTTTAGCCTTCTCCGGAGACCTAGGTCTTTGTATAATGTATCTAAAGTAGGATAATTTGACCAGAGGAAACAGAATGGACACTTCCAGTATGATCAGAGGAAACAGAATGGACACTTCAACTCCTGAAAAATAATTTGCATGCAAAGAAGGAAGATGTTTGCAATTAGAAGACTAGGCCATCTCTCCAAGTCATATTGCCTACTGCAGCCTTCCTCTATCTAGAAACCTTCAGAAGTTGGAAATTCTTGAAGGGCCATTTCCGAAACAGAGAACAAGTTGGGCAAAGATGACTGGCTGAATGGGGCCACACCAGTTCCACCAGTGCCCAACTGAATCAGAACCTCCTTCCTGAGATAAAAGGCCGTTAAGAGAGAAAACACCGGAATGGAAACTCTTAGACTTGACAGATAAATCACCAAAGGGCTTAATTTGAAGCCAGTGTGTCTTCCCCAACTTTAAATTTTAAAGACTGTAAGGTAAGCCCCCCTCTCCTTCATTTTCAAAACTCGTTGGATTCAGGCCAGCTACTGGATTTGGAAATGCAAGCTACATTTCTGAAATGGCTTTCTCAGAAGTACCAGCAGCTTCTCTTTATTAAATTGCCAGACTTTTTGCAATTTTGGACTTCATTACACAGAGGGACCATTGTGGTGTTTGATAACGCACAAATGCATTGAAATATGAGCTAGAAATCGCTCTGTCAGATAAAAGGCAGAGGACCAAAGGACCAGACAACTTTTCTATGAGGTGATAACAGCTCCGCAAAAAGATCCAAAGGGCTCCTACTCACCGTACATCTCATCTTCCAGGCCATGAACAAAAGCTCCGCAGGCCCCCGATTCAATGAGGTTCACGGCCCCCGTGTCTATTTCTTCTTTGGGAGCGTCATCCCCCCATTTCCTGCCACTTGAGAATTCCCCAGAACTGTACAGCTCTTTAGCCCGTTCATGGGCAGTGCGTTTTCGCTGTAGACATAACAGACAGGGAAGTCACGTATTTTAAAATACCCCAGCCATTTCTTTTAAATGATATACAAGTAGTCACCACTTAGTGATGGTAGCTGGGACTGGAATTTCCATCACTAAGCGATGTGGTCATAAAGCGCAATGTCACATGACTGCTCTGCTTAGCGATGGAAATTCCGACACTTCCGGTTGCCATCGTTAAGTGAATCGCTGTGGGTCATTAAGCGAGAACCTCACGTGACCGTGACTTCCTACTTCTTGCCAGCTTCCCCATTGATTTTGCTTGTGGGAAGCTGGTAGGGAAGGTTGCAAATCATGATCATGTGACTGCAGGATGAGTGATGGCCAGAAGTTTGTGGACCAACTGTAACTACCACCTGTTCAGTGCCACTGCAAGTTTGAACAGTCGCTGAACGAATGGTTGTTAAATGAAGATCATCTGTAATAACAGATGAATAGTGAAGCCCTGCTGGAGTCAACATTTTAGGACGCACAGCTAATGTCATCAGCTCTTTTCCTTTCCAAAGTTCCCACTCTGGAAGCAGAACAGGTAGCCTGAATAGTGTAGTTTTATCCACAAACTGTGTCAGCTGACTGCCTACCTCTTAATAAATACGGCTGGGGTTATAATTGGGCTTCACTGGCCCAATTAATCTTAATCTACCAAAGAAACAAATTCTGGCTTGCTGAGGTACAGAAATGATAGGTAGGTAGGTAGACAGACAGAACTTTATTAAGTTCATAGCCCAAAATAATGAAAAGATTACCATAGTAAAACATGGCATAACCATTAGCAGTGTGGAGTTTACATTCAATGTAATAAAACTTAGCAACATTTATGGACACAGAATTATCTTTGTTATCTAACAAGTAATGTCAGTAAAATGTCAGAATGCCCTGGGAATTTAAGAGAGGAGACGGGAGATGAACTGCAAATGAGAGTCCCTGTAGAAATGGCAATATAACAAGACACGGGGTGTTCTTTCTATTGCCCCTGTGTCACAGGGCTACCATCGTTTAGCAATGGGGATTTTGCTGTGTTCCAACACTGCTGGGGGGAACAAAAATGATATACAGCATCAGAAAGCATTCAAAGAAATCAATTGTGCAACTTCCAGAATCCCAGGGTTCGGACATATAAGCACCAGCAACAAAACAGAACAGGATTCCATACCCTCAAGTCTGACATCAGCTTCTTGTCCAGGGTCTGTTCTAAGAAATGAGAACTAACTTGCTGCATAGATCCCTGGAAAACAAGTGGGAAGGGAGTCCATCAGAAGGTCATTTTAAACACAAGCACAATGAAGATTAAGACGATAATACAAGCCCAGTCTGGTATGTGGGTAGTGAGTTTCAGGTCATTTTCAACTGAATGATGCCAAGATCACTAAAAAATTGTGCTTTAGAACAAGCCACTCTCTTATTTCACAGATATTCAAAATGTGGTAGGATCAGAACGTTCCAGTATGCCAAACACCCTTTTATTCCATATAAAAGGCTCAACATTGGAACCTTTTTCACTTCCTCCATGGCTCCCCTTCGCTCCTCTGAGCTTCAGGGTGAGACGTAATGAAGCTCAGCACAAAGGCAGATCAACAATAAATGGAGAGAACAATTAAGCATCTTGTATTTCATGTGCCAGCTGGCAGATCAGGGACGCTCTCCTTGGCAACTGAAAAGAATTAGGGCCCTTACCAATAGTTTAGCAGCCTGGACTCTTACAACCCAAGAGCCATCGCTGACCATGTGACAAATCTTCCCAAAAGCATCATCAACTAGCCGGATTTCTTCATTGGAGGATGGGATTGGGACAATGCTGGGGAGAGAGACAAATTTTTATTACTGCTGGCTTAGTAGGTGGTAGTGTCTGGGCTTAGAAGCTAAGCAGGAGCTAGCCTGGTGAGGACTTGAATGGGAGACTACCAGAAATTGCAGGGCTGCGGGCTAGACAGGGAAGCTGAACAAAAACCAGAAGCAGCCCATGCAAACCATTTTGTAGTGCTGCCAAGAAAGCTACGTGCACATGACGTTCCTGGGAATTACTATCACCATTAGCATGTCGTGCTGGGTGGCCATTCTGAGTTGCAACACTACATCAGGAACGTGCCAGGCTGGAGAAAGGCTTTTTAAAGAAATGGAGCATATGGGGATAATATGTCCAGATGAAGCCATTCCTTTATACGAGAGTTTCTCAGCCTTGGCAACTTGAAGATGTCTGGACTTCAACTCCCAGAATTCCCCAGCCAGC